GGGGGCGGGGGCGGCGGGGCGAGGGGTCCTGCCCTGCTCCGCCAGAACAAAGCCCGCCGCGGGAGCCCGCGGCCGCGCACCGAGCCGGTGACAAAGGCGGGCGGGCGGCGCCGAGCTCCACGGCCGCGCTCCGCCGGCGGCGGGCGGGAAGGAGGCCTGGAAGGTGGGGTGCGATGCGCACCGGCCGTTCCTGGGCTGCGGCATCTCGCCGCCTTGTCCCCGGTGACCGGTTAGGTTGACTCAGCGTTTCCCTCGTCGCTGGCCCGCACCCCGTCTGGTCTCTCTCCCCTTTGTGCCTCTGGCCCCGCGCTCCTCGCTCCCTCCCCGCTTTCTCCGCCACCTCACTCCTCCTCCTTTACTCCCTCTCCCCTGGCCTTCTTGCTTTTAATCGCTTTCCGTTTTTCTTTTTCCCCTAGAAATGCAATGCTAATTCGACTTCTGAAGGCCGCTCTGGGTGTTCAGATAACAGTCTCAAAGTCCTTGCCGGGCAGTGTGTACGGAGAAAAGGGGAGTAATGGGTCCTCTTCATTTTATTATGCAAATTGTGCTCTCAGTAAAATAAAATGCAGTCTGAGGAAGCAGAGCTCGGCCCTGGGACCCCCAGAAGCCGCCGCCTATTCGAGAGAAGCCGCTTCGGAGGGCCGCAAATCACAGCAGGGGGCGGGCAGGGGGACCCTGCGGCTGCGGAACAGAGACCCCCGCCCCCCCCCCAAAGCAAACCTTTCTAGGGAACGTCCCAATCTGACTTCCTAACCCTGGAAAGGAATCGCTTGCTGGACCCTAGCACTGACACCCCAGTGTTTTCGAATTTTGGAGACTCGAATAGTCAATGCTTTTCCAAGTGAAGTTTTACTTGTTCTGTTTCTGCGATGTGAATTTCAAATAAAGGGAACAGAGCCGAAGCCATTTGGACAACACACGCCTTGATTTCTGGAGGTTTTTCCGCACCCTGATATAATATTAAATTAAGAGCTGAGGGCTGTCCAACACCACTGTAAGCTTTGGATCCTCCCCTTGGGCTTTGTTGAGAAACCAGGCTCCCTACCTGAAATCTGGGGGGAGGAGGTGGGCCTTCAAAGCTATAATCAGACACAGAACTTTGAACTGGGGACTAACGAGCCCCAGTTGCATGAAGCTACAATGAGCAAGGTCATTTAGTTCTACCGCCAAAGTCTCTTTGCCAGATATTTTAGTGCTGGAATTTTATTGCTGCAAACCACAGAGTATCCGAAGTGTCAGTTATCAGTGAATACTGGTACTGTATTTTAAAAGTGAGCAGAATAGCCACCCTTGAAGACCCCCTAAAGGCTGACAGTCCAGGGTGAGCCTAGGGAGGGAGCAGGGCAGTGAAGTGGGAGCTTCAGCATCCACAGGAGAAAAGACACCACAGAAGCATCATTTGGGGGAAATGCCCAAAAGAGCAGCCTTCAGCCTGATGAGCTGCAATCTGCACCCGGCTCCTCAGACAATAGCTAAGTTCAAGTGTTAAAAAAAAAAAAAAAAAAAAAATCTAAAAAAAAAAAAAAAAAAAAACAGAGGCACTAAAATACAAGAATTGCTTTTTCTGGTGTGCTACAGACATCCATCGGGAGACTACCTGGTTCCAACCCAGAAAGGAGAAGCTATACAGGGAATCTGGGGTGTTCTGGGAAGGGCGTGTCCTCAAGGAAGAGAGCAGAGTTCATTCTGTTAGGGCCACGAGCTCAAAAAATCCAACCACCCCTCTGGCAAAGCTGAGTTAATAAATATTTTGTTTTTAAAAACACAGACACAAAAAACACCAAGTTGACCTTGGAATATTTTTCTAGCCAGACATACCCACATGTTTTTGTTAATAAATCATCATCGTCACTCTGGTCAATCAGCTGGGTTCTCTGTTACCTAGCCCTGTGAATTTAAATTCCAAGAAGACCACTGTTGGTGGGGGGGGAGGTGAAGGGGGGACAGGCAAGAATAGTCCATCACATTGTGTCAGCCAGGGCTTCCCTAGCGATTGGTAGCTTTCATTACCATACTTGTCAGGTGCACGAATGCAGCTACAGTGAGCAAACTGTTGGAAATGGGTTGTTTTTAAAGCATACACTCGATTACCAACTTATCGTGCCTTCTTAATTCAGATTCCACAATCTGAGGTGGTCTGTAGTTTAAAGCTGTCCTATAAGCATCAGAAGTAAAGCTTCTTACTTGAGGGTGAGAAATCACAAGTGTCTGAATTTATCATTGCTCCTTTCAGCCCATCTAAGAGAACTAAGTGCTTGCTCCTTTCCTGCAGATCAGATAAATCAGTTATCAAAGTGATACAAAGAACCACATAGGAGGAACCATCGGGACACTTCCAGAAACTTAGCAAGACCAAGAAACAACTCACCCACTGCCCAGCCAGATGACAAATACTCATTTCCACCCAAAAGCTACCACTGAAGAGCCCTTTCTTTGGATCTAGCACACAGTGTGGATTGTGAGTATGCTACACATTTTAATTTGTAAATGCTAACGGCAAATGTGCTTCTGCACCGCCACGGTACCGGACGGAGCACCTTATCGTTCTCAAATGGAAGCAAATGAGTAAATACCCAGTTTGTATTCTGTACATCTGACCCAGGTAATGTTCTTCACTCTCTCTTTTGGCAAAAGCAATTTCACCATCCCCAACAATTTAAAGTCTGTAGCTTTGCCCAGCTCTTTGGATCTTAATTCATACCCAGCTTGATTGTTCCCACCTCCAAATCATTACAGAATGCTAACGCGGTCTCTATAATATGCCAGTTCTCGAATTAACTTGTTGCTTTACCCAGAATTATTATTTTCTATTTCCTTTACTCGAGGTAACCTGAGATTGTAGATATCATGAGTAGTAAGCTTTTTTTTGCTTCCAGGTTTTGTTTTTTTTTAAGTAACTTTATAGAAAAGGAACATACAAAGCAGCCAAGATAGTAACCATCCCAGATCTCATGAAAAGTGATACCAAAAAGTACGCTCCCGATATGTACGGTTATTGCTTAACTATTGTTTTACAAAATGCCTGGCTAAACAGAAAAGTGCCCTTTCTCCTGAATAATTTTAAAATGCATTTAGCAGCCCAGGGCCTGCAAAGTAACCTAGAGCTTTGAGGCATTGGTCTAGTGCGTGTGGATCTCCCCCAGAGGTCTTTTGTCTGAAATGTCCGGAGAGCTGAAGAAAAAGCCATGTTTGGGTTCAAATTACACGGCTTCTTCCATTTCCCACTTTGTGTTATTCGCACAGACCTGATAGTACATTTCCTGACTCTAAATGTGAGAGCTCCTGGATAAAAATCATGGAATTAAAATGTTTTTTAAAGTGTCTCCTTTGCATACGTTATTCCCATAATCTTTCAGCCCTCCTAGATGAAATACCACTTAAACCCAAACCTTGACTTTTTCAAGTTAGCTTCAAAACAAAACTTCTGGCTGGAACCTGGCTGGCTTGGAGTAGAGTTCGAAAGGATAAGATGTCTTTCCCGCTCCTCCAGAGGGATGGTAGAGCCTCCAGCCCGGGGCCCTTCCTGCAGGCTCGGTGGCATACTCACAGGTGTGGGGAACCGCTGAACAACGGAAGCCAGCTTCTCACAAGTCACTCATGGCTTCCCTTTCTTAGGCTCTCCAAATCTCCTTGGGAGAATTGTTAGTGACAAACTGACTAATTCCTCAGAACCGGGCAGGATTTGCCCTTCACTATTTTAGGAAGTTTTCCACGTATCTTTTCATCCTTCCCCACAATAAAGTTCAGTCTTCCTTGTCTGTATCTAAAAATCTCTGAGGCGGAAAGCCTGTGCTCTCTTAAAACTTTTTCTGCAACTGTGTTAAGTCATACTGTGCCAAAAAGTTTCAAGCGCACAGTGACCTCTCAGGGATGGCTATTTTGTAATTTCCCTTTTCCCTAACAAGCCTTTCAAGGATAAATCCAAAATCTTTCTACAGCCAGAGGAGGTATGAAGAATTAAAGGAGCCATTAAATATCAAATGGAGTAAAAGAGATCCAGGATGCCTTGACTAGGTCTCCAGGAGCTGGATTTTTATTTAGAAGTCAAAGCCTTCATCAATTTGAAGAATGTTCACTATTTAGTAGATAATATCTTTAGAATGTATTTTTCTCTTCTTGACTGTTTCCCAAAATATACAACCCAAAAGCCAGCTTCTGAGGTAGCTTACTACATACCCCTAACAATTTTGTAAAGTGTTTTTGCTTTCACAGCCCAACTCTGTTTTCCAGACTTACATCCACTCTGCGGAAAGAAATGGAGGAATAGTTTTTTGAACTGTTTTTCTTTCGGGGCCATTTCACAGAAGGGGCTGGGTGGGAGATGGAGTGGGGGGCGCTCACTGTCCTTCTATTTTAAGGCTCTGTGCTCTGCAATGAATTCACTCCTCGTTGTGAATATGCATAGAAAGGTAGGGGCATTTGTTCCTTTGGCAAGTTTGGAAGAGCAGATTTGCTTTTGAAACAGCTGCATTTTACACGGTACCTGCTAAGACGAGTCAGTGCGCCCCCTGCTGACAAGTCAAGAGTGCGACTCCCGAGCACTTGCAAAGTTTATTTTGTTCAGTAAACCGTGTCATATAAAATTAACAACAACAAATAAAATTAGCTTATATGTTTCAACTGTAAAAGTCCAAAACAAAATAAAGCTAGTTTTGGTGGCGCTAGAAATCTCTATCTCGGCTTCTTCTCTTTGGCTGAGCCAAGGTCCTTTTATCTAAAGCCCAGTGCACAAACATACAGCTTAATGTGACCAGTGTTCTTCCTTTTCTTTTTCTCTCTATGGCAACCAATATGCTCTGCTCAGAAATGTTCCCCATCAAGGAAACAAATGATCTTCAGGGAGCAGCTCTATATGGCATCTGGTCCAATGGAGCACAGAGAGTTAACCTCAGTCAAAAGCGACGCTGCCAGGCACGCAAAACAAGGAGCGGAAAACTGGCGATTCTTACCCCCTCCCCAAGTGAAACCTGTTCCTCCTTCCTGAGAAACCATTTCATTGATTTGGCATCAACTGTCTCCAAAGAAATTACAAAATTCAAATTGCAAGGTGTTCCGGAGACAAAAAGTGCAATAATATTCCAGCTATTTGATACTCACCCCCTCACCACCCCAGACATGACTTCCTCTAAAAAGAACAAAACCAAGAACCTTTTAGGATCCTCTCCAGCCCATTTCACTACAGTAAGTAAGGTTCTCACATGGGCTTGGACTTGGCCTAGCTATTTCCTCCAGCCGTATTTCTCGAATTAACTGCACCTAGCAAGCAAGGCACCCTTAATTTTTACAAAACCCAGGGACAGTGGCGAGAGTCGGGGGGGGGGCGGTCAGTGAGGGGTCAAGGCCGGTGGTCAAAAATAGAAAACAAAGTAAAACACTATGCCACCCTAAAGCTCTAGCCTCCTTTGGGAATAAAGTGTAAGGCGTCCTGGTTAGTTTTGATTGATCACCGTCTTTCTGATGGCCTTTCACTACCGAGCCGGGAGACTGCAGCTTGCGGCCAGCTCCCCAGACGCGGCCTTAACCAGGGGGGCACCGACTTCCTGCCACTTATTCATCCCCTGCCTCCTTCTCCAGCTCTCTGCCCTCCCTTTGCCAAGCCCCCCCTCCCTCACTC